GGGAGAAGTGTAGAGAGATGTTGGAGAAGTACGGAAGATGTGGGAGAAGTGTGGAAAGATCTGGGAGAAGTGTGGGGATATGCGGGAGAAGTGTGGGGAGATGTAGAAGTGTAGGGAAATGCGAGAGAACTATGGGCAGATGTGGGAGAAGTGTGGAGAGGGTGTGGCTGTGGGTGTGGGGAGATGTGAGAGAAGTGTGGGGAGATGTAGGAGAAGTGTAGGAAAATGCGAGAGAACTGTAGGCAGATGTGGAAGAAGTGCGGGAGAAGTGTGGAGAGGCTGTGAGTGTGACTGTGGATAGAGTAAAGAAACACTTACACCCACACGCTCGCATCTCCAGACACTTCTCTCACATCTCCCAACACTTCTCTCACATCTCTCCACACTTCTCTCGCATTTCCCTACACTTCTCTTGCATCTCCCTAGATTGCACTTCTCCAGCATGCCCGAGATTCTGGATATGTAACACCACTCGAAGTTTGTGCTCGAAGAGAGTATCGAGACTCAAGAAGCAGATTGTGGTGTCATTTTGCCAGCATGCGTTCCTTCTCAAAATGTCAGTATGCATTCTAATGAGGAAGCTTTCATTGGGTTTATACCACTTTTCTGGAAGAATTTTTTCTCTTCGATTTTTTTCTGCTTGTTAGGTAAACTAGAAGACAGAAAACAGCTTTGATATAAAAATTTGTTCATTTCCACTTAAAACCAGTAGATTTCGGCTCGTTTTTGATGTACATCTCCGAGAGAAGTCACTTTTTGAATTACATCATTTTGATCCCGTATTTGATTCATAAGTAGACATCAAGTAAACTAGTACAATCTCCATAGAATTCCTTTTTGCATTGAGGCTTGACACTTTCAAAAAATCGCAAAGCATCATGAAACTATAAAATACATATCCCAGACAAATCTCAATGACAAAAAAAGAAATCCTTTGGAAGTTGTACTAGTTTGCTCGTCCTCTACCTATGGACAAAATATGGGCTAAAAGGATGTAATTCAACAAAATGACCTATTCGATATATACCTCAAAAGTAAGCCAAATTTCCATAATTTCAGGTGAAAAACGAGCAACTTTTCTGTCGAAAACTATTTTTTGCAACCTATGGGTTGACGACCTCTTTCGATATGGAATACTTAAACTATAGTTTAATAATTTAATTCAAATTTCAAGTTTGACACTGCTGCATGCAAGGAACGAGATTTCATTAAAACAAAGGTTGCGATAAAATATTAAATTGGATGTGTAACTCAGAGCTCGTCAATAGATTTTGCGGAAAGCATTTTAACACAAATCAATGTCTTCTGACGTAAAAAAAAACAAGACTCTTTTCCAGAACTTACTTTCTGAATTTTATTGAATGAGACTTGATAAAATGAAATAGTAAGTATGAATATCACAACCTTTTATACCTCTTTGAATTGTCAACAAAATCAATGTAGTATTTCACTACAGACAGTAATAATTCAGCATTGCACCATACTGCGTCATGTCTATTTGCGAAGACTTTTCATGACTTTTTGATTGATGAGAACCGAGTATAATCAGATTTCCCTTTGTAATATCACATGAATGAAAGGAAAGAAAAGAAATTGTTTTTTTTCTGACTCATGAAATAATACAGAGAAAATTCTGCTGATGATTTTTGATGGGAGAAAAAAATTTGGCGCTACCCTTGTAAAATTTGGATGTGGGTATGGATGTTATCTTCGTCGCAGTCACACACTAAACCACACAAATACTCACACCTACATCCTCTGATTTTGTCCAAACTAGACGAATAAATAAGCTATGCATCGATTTTTTTTCCCTTTCCATTGTACAATTCATTTTGCATATCTTGCATTATTATGTGTTTTATCTATTCGATTTCACTTGACGGTGTGCTTTTGAGGTGTCATGAGTCATCGTTTCATGAGAATAATTCAATAGATCAAGTACTCTGATTCTGAATTGTTTCGATATTGTCACATTCCCATTCTCAGAAAATAGGTCAAGGTCGCAAAAATTTATTTTAATCCTTTGAGGATGGTGGGACATGTTTGTTCCACCTATTTTTCAGTAGAGAAAAAAAGTGTTTAGTTCACATTAAACCATTAAATATGTAAGATCGTTAAGATCATAAACAATCGTATTTGTCATGTTATACTTTTTTTCTTTCTTTCCTTCTCTCATATACATTCTTTTCAAATATCCTTTGTTCTTGCTGTTAAGGTATAGTGACGTCATAATTTCTCTCTTCTTCTCTGATCTTTTGTTTTTCGAAAATATTCTCATTCTCTATTGGGTATATATGAGTAAATCGTATTTTTCTTGTACAATTACGTTTTTGAAGTATTTATTCTGGAAATCCGTTTCTTGTAGGCCGATTTAAAAACTTGTTTTTTTCTTCGCTTCCGTAGTATGTGTTCCACTATCACAGAAAATTTCAGACCGATAGGTTACCAGCTCGCTGAGATTGAGAGGATGAAAGCAAAAAAATCTATGATTTTAATGAGTCATCGTAGAAAAAATGAATTTTCTGAGGAAGGAAAAAAAGGAAAGAGAAAAGTGAATAGCACATTCTCTTCAGCGTCTGACGGCCTACTCAAATATATCAATTGCGAATACAATGTTTATCTCTCTCTTGTTCGTCTATGACAAAAACACTTTTACAAAGACTTTTTCTTTTATGTGTAGAGAAACACAAAACCTTTTCCAGCAGGCGAACGGATAAAACTAGAGTCCTAATGTGTCCTGCAAAAGGAAGAGCTTGGTCCAAGCAACCAAATGATCAAAAAAAGTTTCAGTCTTCTCGTTATTATTTTATAGAAAAACGGGGGAAGTTTTTCAAAAATGGGTTTTTCACTCACTTTGTAGAGAAACATTTTGAAAATTATTTTAGCATTACTTCCCCATAGACTGAACCGATCTTGTTGATGTTTATACATAAGAGAGAGCATAAAAAGTTCTACATTTGGTAAAAATTTCAGGGTGATTGAATACTGTCTTCCTAAAAAATTTTGCATTATACGACGAAATGTAGAGAAACATTTTTTTTTTAAATATGTAGAGAAACACTTTTTTCTAGTTTTCTGACCTCGCTCAGCTCAAATGTACACTTGGGGGAGACCATTCAAGTATTGGTGATACCCACGTTGAGTAAAGAAAAGAGCTATGATAGAGAAAAGCGCAAGAATTTCCAAAGATTGCTGCTTTTGGATGTATTAGATTGCTACACAAATTCTGCATGCTTTTTTTCTTGTTTTAGACAATTTTCAAGCTGTATATCTCGTGGTTAGAAAGTGATAGAAGTGTAAAATTTTCAAATCAGATAGCAATCATAGAGACCTATTTATAACAAAAATTTTAGACCTCTATCGTTTTCTAATCATGAGATATAAAGCCTGAAAGTTGCCTAAAACATAAATAAACGTGCAGTGCAGAACTTATGTACCAATCTAATATTTCACGGACATTGATACAGAAGTATTTTGGTCTCCTGACACGTGGTAGTTGGGAAATTTTTGCCTCGTACTCAGCAAACAATGGTGAATGAGACGCACAACTTAAATTTTCTCTAAATGCACTTTCATGTTTTTTTCCAGAATTGTACAAAAAAAATACGATTCAATCATATATATATATATACATCAGAAAGTTCAAGCTCGTCTAAGTTATCGACTAGTTCATCGTAACCGAAATCGAAGTCACTCTCTCTGGCGTCATCACTGGCATATGAATCACGGGACTCGTCGTGGACTTCATTATTTCTACAGAATTCCATTTGTTTAGTTTTAATTGTAAAAACGGTATAAAGAAATAAAGAGTACAAGTTCGAAAGAGAAATACTAGGGTGGGATGTGAATATGGATGTGGGTGTGAGTGTGTGGATGTTGCTGTGGATGAATAGACTAGTTGCACCCATTCTCACACCCACCTACACCCACACTCACACCCA